CTTTCAAACCAGTCTCATTTTCCACCATGGCCTTCTATTTTTTGAATGTATCAAAGACTTTTAATTTATTCTTCAAAAAATAAACCTATATATTCCTTATAGAATCATCGATGAAGGTGACATAATATAGTGAACCTACAAGAGATGAAACTAGAGATGGTCCCCATACATCAGTATGAACCAACTCTAACTTTTCAACCTTGGGAGTCTTGCCAATCTTTGCAAAACTGACTTTCTTTTGTTTGCCAAATATGCAATCCTCACATAGTCCGACATCTATATTCTTTAGATCCAGCAGCTTCCCTTTTGACAAAAGTGTCTTATCCCTTTCTCGCTCATATGGCCAAGCCTTTGGTGTCATAGGTTTGATTTTCCATCAGCATCTGCTACTGTAATGATATTCTCTAAGTTTGAGGTTACATAAAGAGTATCAGTCTTCTTACCAAGAGCAATGACGAGTGCGCCTTTGGTAATCTTCCATTCACAGCCTGAAAAGGTTGTACTATATTCTTCTCCATCAAGTTTTCCTACAGAAATCAAATTTCTTTTGAGGCCAGGAATATGTTTCACTCCTTTTAGCTTCTAGGTGGTCTGGTATGGCAACTTTAATCTGATCTCTTCTTTTCCGATGATCTTCAAGGTTTCATCGTCAGCTAGATGAACCTTCCCAAAATCACCACTAACATAGTTCTTCATGATTTCTTGGCATGGGGTGGAGTGGAAAGATGCATCTGAATCTAAGATCCATGATTCAATCGGACTGTTGACGCTTACAATCATGGCATCACCTGTCTCCTCTGTCATGTTGACAGATTCCTGTGCGCCGATATCTTTCTTCGGTGCTCGGCAATCTCTTTTAAACTGACCCTTCTTGCCACAATTATAACAATTAAAATCTTTCTTTCCCATTCTTGATTTTCCCATTCTGGATTTCGATCTTCCATGATTTGAATTTTTTTCTAAAGTTCTCCCTCTAGACTCTGTGTGCAAGGCTGAGAATTTTGATGCTTCACCCGATTCTCTCTGTCAAATTTCTTCACTCAATACCAGATCTCGAACATTGTCGAATTTCAATTTACTGTTTCCCAACGAGCTGCTGACTGCTATAACAGTTGCATTCCAACTGTATGGTAGAGATGATAAGAGAATTAAAGCTTGAACTTCATCATCGAATTCAATTTCCACGGAACTCAACTAGGTTATGATTGTGTTGAGTTCATTTAGGTGTTGAGCTACTGATGCCCCTTCTGCCATCCGTAAATTGAATAATCACCTCATCAAGTTACTTTGTTTGAGGTTGATGGCTTCTCATACATACTAGAGAGAGCCGCCATAAGACCCGCCGTGGTCTTTTCCTTTGTTATGTTGAAGGCAACATTGCGGGATAACGTTAGTCGGATAACTCCGAGGGCTTGTCTGTCGAGAAGAGCCCAGTCTTCATTCTTCATGCCCTCTTGTTGCTTTCCTGAGAGAGGTTGATATAGATTTTTCTGGTACAGAAAATCTTCAATCTGCATCTTCCAAAAGCCAAAGTCCGCACCATTGAACTTCTCAATTTTCACTTTCCCTTCGTCTGCAGCCATCGCTCTCACTCGAATCTGGATTCTTTTGGATAATTTCTGATAATTTCTGCGAACCACCGTGTATTAGAACACCTCTATCGACAAACTCGTATCGCCGACCAAATTTTACTATTTACATGAATAGTAACCTCGCAGAAAAACCAATAAAATTAACTACCAAAAGCTATGATACCAGTTGTTAAGAAATAAACAAGTAATTTCTCTATAACTAGATTAGTGAGAATGCGAAATAAAAGAAGAAAAATAATACCTGAAATTGATAACGGAGTTCAGCCAATTATGTCTACACCTCTGGACTGTTGCAGATCTTTTACTAAAGAGAGAAAAATTATAAGTGTTTACAAAACACTCACAAGAAAGCTCTCTAGTATTGGGAGAAAGAAATGATTTGGGATGATTTTGAAGCTAAATGGGTTAGGGTATTTATAGTTGAAGCTTGAGGATTAATCTTGTAAATACCTTAAAGTGTGCAAGGACTAAAAATACAATTTCCCCATCAACTTTTCAATAATTGTTGCTCCTTTGTTGAAACTCATTTTGGCGATGCCAAACTTTGAAATAAACTCATTGTGCGGTGCCAACTTTACTTGACTTTAAACAATAATTTCCGTGAAACGAGGATTAATGGCAGCAAAAATTGTTAAATGTTTCATCTATTGCACATGTCATTACATTGGGACTTGAGTTGCAGCTATTAGTATAACAACATAGGTAAATCCTTCAACTATATAGTGCAAATTGAAGGCATATATTCTCATCTTGGACATCCATCATCTATGTCATATTCGGAGACAAACGGTTTCAAGGCAAGACTAGTTATCAGCTACTGAGACATGTAGCATGTACGAGGCTTCTAGTCCTCACTCCCATGGATGAACTGAGGGGGTGCTGGAGTGCAGTCACATTCCTGAAAATTTCAAATTCCCATATAATTTAGATATTTTTTATTAATTATTTAATTCGCACCCTTGGAATTTTGTAATTTTGCATTCTAGTTGGTTCCTCCTCCCTACCCACTTGGCTTCTAGCTAGGCTGATGTAGGGACTAACAAAGAAGGGAAACTAGGTCGTAAAAGCTACTCTTGGTTTTGATTCTTTTGTTTGAGAGAAGCTGAAAACGCAACATGGAAGCCAAAAGTAAATAGATGGGCTATGAGAAAACAATGTTTATATGATCTTGGCATTTTTCCAAGCACAGTTTGTCATGTCTCCCTATCCTGCTTGTTACCATGTGCTCAACTTGTTCATTTTGGATGAAAACAATCCACCTAAAATTCATCATTTTGTCACAAGCCACGGCTTGACAACTAGAGAGCAATGGGCAAGTTTATAAGGGAAAGATCCATGTCATCTTGGACCCCATACCATAGGGGACCAGATGTTCTTTGGTTCCTTTTTTCAAAAGAAAAATATTCGGATATAAATAAACTTTAATTCAAAACCTACTTTGTCAATTCCTGCTACTTGGAACTTTTAACTACAATTAGCTAAGTTACATCTTATCTTAAAATCTGAAGAGAACCCCAAAATAGTTTTTATTTTTTAATCCCAGTATTACTATTAGTAGAATGACCCTAAAATCTTGTCATTAAAGAATGTTGTAAACTTGTAGGAGAGATTGTGTGCAGAACGATGAACCTGCAAGTTGTGCCTTTCTTTTGGGGTATGTCTTAAATGTATGATTATCATCCATTTCATTATGATTTACAACATAAGTTTATTAATGGAAGAGTTATATGTCATCCACATAAAGTTTTGGATAATAGAAGAATGATTTTATTCACGCATGTATATGCAGTATATAGTATATTTTTTCTTTCAAAGTCTGCTAAATAACGGTTTTGTAAGGCAAATTATATATAATCTCCAATCTTTATGTAATTGTTAAGAGGTTCATTCTTTTAATGTTTTTAGATAGAAAAAATTGTCTTGTGATTGATAAAAGAGAACTTAAACTTCCATGTTTAACGGATAATGATATTTAATTAATAGGAGAGAATAAAAATTAATGGCGGATGTATTCAGTCCATCGGAAATCAAGTGTATATTCATTATTTTAAAAAACTGTTAAAAATATTTTAATGGGTCAAAGAGAGGAGAAAGATAAGAAAATTTATATATTATTTTTTATAAAATTTAATATTGAAATTTTGAATTATTTTTAAATTTCTAGATTTATCAACGATAAATCTGATTTGTTATACAATTTTATGTTCATCAAGAACATTTTCTCAGCATGTTTCGTTTTCATCATTCATAAAAAATTATTCAGGCAAAGGGATATATATACCCTTGATCTCTGTTTTGAAAACCGGATTGGACCGTCCGGTTTAACCGGGAACCGTTGTTTAGTCCGGTTCAATCTAAACCGGTTAAACCGTTATTAGTGAATCGGCCAGAACCGCTAAACCGTTCGAACCGGACCGGCTGAAAACCGGGAAAAACCGGGAATTTTGTTTTTTTAATAAAAAAATTAAACCAAACAACGTCGTTTGTTAAACGAGCCAAGTCGAACTCTAGTATTGCTGAGCTCGACTCGAACTTGAAAACTTTAAAAGTAAGCTCAACTCAACTCAAACTCACAAGCTAAAAATTATCAAGTTCAACTCAAACTCGAAATATAATATTGAAACTTGAACTCAAAAAGGCTTGAACTCAAAAAAAAATTAGAAGCTCGATTGAAGCCTAAAATTCGAGCTTAATTGAAGTGAAAGAATAGTTCACTCAATGCTCACCAAAAGGCTCTATGATTTTGAATGCCAAATTACCTCTATTATTTATAGAAGTTAGTTGTGATGCGCTTTTATGTTTCTTAGCAATGTGAGATTGTTTTGTTCTCATATTTTTACTCTTTAGACTTTTGGGATGCTCTTCTATGTTTCTTAGCCATGTGGGATTGTTTTTTTTTTAAATTAAACCAAACAATATCATTTTGTTATGATTTTTTTAACCCCAAATTTATTTTTTAATTATAGTTATATAATTATATTTATTATTTAATATGTTTTTCCTTAAATATTATGTTGTAGTTAATTTGAATCATTTTGTTTCACTTGATTTTATGGTTTTTAACTTATATATATTATGACTTGCTTTGAATATGACTTGTGATATAAAAAATTATTTTTTATTAAATATTTTTGGTATTTTTATTTAATTTTTTAAATAATTATGACGTCGTCCGGTTCTTCCGACCGATCGGACTGATTCGACCGGTTGAACCAGTGAACCGGTAACATGACCGGTTCGCTAACCGGTCCGGTTCGCTAACCGGTAACATGATAGAATATTCTCCCTCTCATTAAATTAAATTAAAACTTTACAGAAACAAAGGAGAGGATTCCTTCAAGTTGTTAGCCCTACTCTTTAGAAGAAGAAGACATTAATATATTTTCAGAACAGCCATTTTTCTTCTTCTTGTTCTTCTTCTCCACTCAAAAATATACATGCTCACGCACAAAAAAGAAAAAAAAAGTAGAGAAGAAAGTGGACAAATAACAAGTCGCCAGATTTTCTTCTCTCCCATGTGAATTGAAAAATCCTCCTCCATTCATTTGCCTGAAAACGAAATCGGATGGAATAATATCAGCACCAACGTTTGTTTGGTTCCAAATGAAAATAAGCTCAAATGGCTAAGCTTACCGATTGATTTTTTGCAATGCAGAACCGCCTCGTAGATGGAGCTTTCGGAATCGCACGAGTTCCGCCACTCATCGGCGCCGGAGTACGCGACGCTGATCCGAGGAGATGCTTCAGCTGAGTACACCCATTTCTTCTTCGTTTGAATTCCCGCATCGACGCTTTCGGCTCTACCGTTCGACTTTCTTCCCCGTATTCTCCTATACAATGGCCTCAGAAAATCCAAGTATTTCGATAATATCCTTCTGGACAATCTTCGACACCGCGAGAGAGATGGACGGTTTGTTTTACTGGGCGGAACCGCCGGCACTTGTGAAGAAGTAGCTATAGCCATGGCTGAAACTGAATCAGAAGCTTCAATTTCATATGCCTCGATCTTCAAAGGGTTAACAAAAAAAGGCACGATGTAGCCATCGGAAAAAAGCTCATCTGCATGAACGAGCGTGAGAGGAGCTTGTGAAATGGGGAAATCAAACTTGAAATCTTGAGAGCGTCTGAAAAATCTGTTGGAAGGCGGCATCCTGGGATCCATTTCGATGAAAGAAGCTTCGTCGCATGCATCAAGCGAGGCTCTTAACGAGCCGTCCAAACCATCTGAAGAAGCTGGTTTTAGGTTTACTAACCAACTATACGAAAAGCTTTCAATGGAGAGCTGCTGGGATGCTTCCATGGCTTCCACTCTTGTAAACCAGCACCGTGTAATCTCAAATACAACAGCTTTATATATATGGATATTTGGCAAGAGACAACGGGTTTTCATAAGTAGAAAGAGAAAAAGGAGAAAGAAACGTAATTGTGAGCCCCCAACCATAGTATAAAATAGCGGTTGCGGCATCTGTTGGTGTCGCGGTTGCGGATGTTGCGGACGTTACGTAATATGTTGAGGTTGTCGCGGGCGTGATTTTTTAACATGTTATGGCTGTCACGGGCAGTTGCGTTGCCTTAATATTACGTCGCGGTGACCTTCAAAACCGTTACGATGCGACCGTTACACTGCGTTGCAGCCGCAATTTAATACCATGCCCCCAATCCCTTTCTGTTAACACACATAGTGTGATGTTCCATCGACCCTTTACCCCACATTTGCTTTTAAGTTAGCAGAAAAGATGACCTCTCATTGCTAATTTGTTTAATCAATAGTCATAAGAAACCGGAAAATATAAAGAATTTAGGTTCATGCACATTTCTTCTTTATCTCAACAAACTAATGCAACCGATTTTCTCATACATTCATACGCTAGAAAATGCGAATCAACAAGCATAATTTATTCAAGGTGCTACTTAAAGTCTAGTCTTAAACAAGCCAAATACCTTCATACGAAAGTATTAAAGCCATTGATGGACGGTTCACCCTTCTAGTTTGAGTGTATATTTACGGTTAACGAGAGAGTGACATGTGTCTAAAAGAGAGAAAAATGAATTATTATGAGAAATAAAAAAGAGGGTCCATTGGATATGGGCAGCCCATTCTCATTTCCATTCTTAGAGGTATAAATAGAGACCTTTAATGTGTACGACAATCGTAGGCAGTGACAAGTTTAGGAATTTAGAAATAAGGGTCCACAATTTTAATATTCATTTTTCTAATAAAATGGGCATGCAAATTTCTTATGTTTTTCCCTTCCCCTTAAGACATTGAACTAAATTTAATAATGATATGAAATAATGACATGCATAATAATCGTCCAATAAAATAGATACCAAAATTTACTTAGAAAACTATTTCAGGATAAACTAGGAGAAAATTCACTAATGTCAAGAGAATAAGAATACAAGAGGAGTCCTCATGGATAACTTAATCTCTAACTCAAATAGATACTTGATTACAGAGGAAAACTAAATAAAATATAAATCTACTTTAATAAAAGTATCTACTTTTAATAAAACTAGGATTCTCACTTTTCAAATTTAAATATTAATTAATTTGTGTCATTTTGAGTTCAAGTCAAACTCTAACAAATTTCTACCTTGACATGAATTTTTAAAGTACAAAGGTTTAGAAACAAAACAACATAATTAAATGAGACACCCAAACTCAACAGAAAACAATTTTTCACTTCAATGAACAAGGATCTCCACCTTTAGAATACATTCTCCATTTCTTCCACGAAATCCACTTAGAGATGTATTCTTTAACAATGATTGCCAACTAAATCCAAAGCTTGCCGAAAATTGGATTTAGTCTTCTCATCGATAAGGAAACGATAAGTGCTAACTTTGCTCATAACTTGTTCACTGCAAGCAATATCATGCACGACACAATTCCGATCATCAATGACAATTCTATCTTTTTTGTTATACTCACAGAAGTAAATTTTCTTCTTCTTGAATCTGTTATGCCCATAGAACTTAACTTTCTTTATCTTCTCAAATCCGTTATGTCCATGGAATAAAACACTTTTCTGCTCCCAAAACCGTTGTCCATGGTTGTTTTGTTCAACACAAAATCTTCCTTTATTATGAAGGGAATAATAATATTTCCTGCATAATATAAAACTTGGCAACATTCCTCTCCCATTTTATCATAATAAGAGAGATCTTGCAAATTTACGTACCTCTACCTTTCACAATTTGAATATGGTGTTGTGATCCAACAACGACTTCTCATACTTTGAAGATGTCATTATTATGATCGAGTCAAACAACTTGAACGTTCTGATACCAATTTGATATAATATAACGACATGCATAAGAATCGCCCAATAAAATAGACACAAAGATTTTACTTGAAAACCCCTTTTAAAAAAATACAGGCAGAAAATGAGAAAATTCACTAATATCAAGAGAAGTCCACATGAACAACCTGATCTCTAACTATGACCCTTAGTATCTATTTATATGGATAGATGCTTGATTACAAAGGAAAACTGAATAAAGTAGAAATATAATTTAATAACGTTATCTACTTTTAATCAAACTATATGATTCTTATTTTTCCAAATTTAAATATTAATTAATTTGTGACACCTTAAATTCGTGTCAAACTCAATCAATTAACTTACACAAAATAATGGAGGTGCACTTGGTCTACTAGGGGGCTTAGTGCATCCGCCTTTGACTATAAGATCATCATGGTTATTTGTAAGTTGACAAACAAAATAGATCTAATAATTAAATTTTGAATTTTGTTATGACACGTCACGTAAGCATATCATATGATTTTTTTTTATCAAAAGTCCTCTTTACGCCCAATAATTGGTCAAAGGTTTGTATTTTTAGGAATGTAGGCTAATAAAAAACTCGGATAAAAAAGTTTCTGAAAATAAATATCCGAAAATATAACAAAACCCCAATTAAATGTAACATTATCTGTGTATTCAGTGGTGTATCCACATTGATATTAGGGTGGGCATGTGCCCGTATGAAATTCAAATTTTTTTCTTTAAAAGTCAAAATTTTCTTTATTAATGTATGTGTGGCTATCATGAAATTTTATGGTGTCCACCTTGAAATTTTATCTTATCAAAAAATTTATATTATTAATATATATATGTTCACCCTAAAAAAAATTTCTAGATCCACCAATAACATTAGATACTTTAACACAAAACAATGATCGGCCAGATATACAGAACTTTGACTCGGACAATGTAGCAATTATTCAAGAAGACAATGGACATAAATAATATTTGTATTAAAAATAGGTCATATGCAATGATGCCCATCGTCACACGTTACTGCAGTTGGGTCCTTGAATCAGTTAAGGGGATATGTTAGATATCTCATGGGGAAGTAAACCAGGGGAAGCAAATATTATTAAGTTCCATTGGTAAGGAAATTTCAGGCTTTTTCGTCCACTAATAGTCTAGTGGTGGTGAGTTTGAATCTCCTCAAAACTTGAACGTTAGAGAAGGTGAAGTCGTTTTCATTAAAAATGGAAATATTCAGTATATTATTAATTTACTTACAAAGTACAAAAACAAAAAAGCAGACAAGGTCCCCAAGCGTTGTCGGAGAATGAAATGGACATTGACATAAATTTCTAGGCCAAAAGCCAAATACTAGAAAATAACTCTAAACCCACTGGTCCCTGCATTGCATCCACCTTCAAGATAACAAGCACTGGATAGAGAGCCTAAACATTCAAAAAGCACTAACCATCGTGAAAAGAATGTTTTTCTTCGCACAAAAATATCATTATTGCTTTCAGGGAAAATAATCATCTATTATATAATATTAAATTGGAGCCGTACCTTAATGTCTTTCAAAGTCATCGCCATATTGTAAATCATATCCGAAACATAAAAACATAATTATTTTTAGAAAATAGATCACATCGCAATGTTTCCAAAATCTGCAACTACGTTATCATATTTGCAACCGTAACCTCAACAATAAAAGTAACCGCAATTTAATACGTTATCTATTCAGTTATTAACATCCTCCCATAAAACTTGACAACTGCATAAACACCACTCGGTGAAAGGGAGGAGGAAGAGCCCTCAAAGAGACTATCTCCTTCGATATTGAGGCACAAATTGGAGCAAACATAATACAAAGGCTAGGGGGCAATTATATAGTCGAATTGATTTAAAAAAATTTGAGTTACTACAATTAAGAAGTAATATTTTATGATTCAAACGGTATTTGAATTTTTTAGCCTAGTTGAGTTTACGAAATCTGAATCGAGTTAAATTGAGTTGTTAAATTTATTTGTTCAAATTTAATTGTAATTATTTATAATATTATAGTACGGATTGATTCTAAGTTAAACGACTTATATATATATATATATATATATATATATATATGGGTTAGGATCCACTTACACAATGTAAAACTCTTTAGTCTTACACAATGTAAAACTTTTTAGTCTTACACAGATTTAAGACCATTGGTTGAGTGAAAATAGATGACCCATATTGACTCATTGTTTTTTTTCCCAAGTGAATATCTTCACATCCCTACTATTAATTTGGATCATTTATTTTCATTCACCCAAACGGTCCTAAATCTTTGTAAAACTAAAAGATTTTTACATTGTGTAGTGGATCTTGCCCCTATATATATATTCTTCGTATTCTTTTTTCACATATGGAAGATTTATAATATTATTTAATAAATCAAATATCATCTATAATTATAAAATATATTTATTGTGCATTTTTTAAAAAGAATAAATTTTAAGGATAAAGTATTAATGAGAGTATAAAGGAGTTAAGGAATTGGTAAGAAGAAATAGTTTGTAAAAAAAAACCTACAGTTGAAGGACCAAAATTAATTAAATGTAAATTTGGGTGACTAAATAGTAAAAATATAAAAATTATTGTTAAAAAAATTGAATTTACATAGGTATTTTATAGTGTTAGAGGAGCATGTAGTTTAAAATTGGAAAAATATTACTTAAAATGAAGGATAAATTGAAGAAAAAAAAACATGTAAAGTTAAAAGAATTAAATTAACAAAATAAAATATTTATTTATTTTTATCAAAAAATAGGAATCAAAGCTGCATAATTATTTTTTTTTTAGTAAAAGAAAAAAAAACCACAAGAATTAGTGGATGTCTCTTCTTCTCAGCGTCATTTGTTCAGAGCTGAGGATACTTTGGGTTTCAGGAGGTGGAGCAGCTAACAAGGTAAGTCCCCGATTCCTCCCACTACTCGATTTGGCGAATTTTATTCGCATGGGCGTTCGCTTCACGTGGAATATATCGTATGTGGATTCTCCAATTCCGCTGCAAGTAACCGCGGA